TCGTAACAGAGGCCAAAATGCAAAGAGTGTGACAACCTTCAGTGGATCCAGGGCTAAAAACAACTGACCGACTATTAAAAACTGAGAAATGATTAACAGTTCCGAAAAATTGAGTAGGTTAATCATGTGACTTATTGATTCACCGATTAGTATTTAAATTGTTATTATTAGAAGTCATTTAAACGTTACTAATTATCATTAAAATAATTATGCAGACGATCGATGTTTGTAAAACTCGCGTATTTAAACTCACATATACTTTTACAATGAATTCTAATTTCGGGCAAAAATTGCGCGAACTTTCTTGAGTACCGAGCAAATGAATGTGCCAGAAAGGCCGAATTTTGAGCAGAAGACTCAATTTGCTTGTGATCAAACGTAATATCAAAACATGGTGGGCTGATTAAGTATCGACTTCTATGAGCGCACATGCATTAATCATGCAATAAACGGCGCACACGCGGGGCCGTGATCTTGAAACCACAAATACATCCCGTCCTGTGCAACCGCAAAGACGGAAGGAATTTCAGTGACGAGGTGAAATTTAATTAAAATAATAATGAAACGGATACGAAGGAGCGGTGATCGATGTACGACAAACCGTCCACAGAAACGAACTGCATGATCCTGGTGCCTCTGCATTAATCCAGTCCCCTTCTTCCCCCCTCATTCTGCTCTCAGGCGATCTGGTTAGAAGTGGCCGAGAGATCTGGAGAAGTTTGAATAAAAAGTGAAAACGAGTTCTCTGCAGTATGTGTGTGCCGATACGAGCATCGTACTCGTTCGCGCCTCTCTGAAAAGTAGTCCTTCTGTTTTCATTTACTCCGGGCACCACTCATGCAGTCATGCATTCGGAAGGTCCTTAACTATGTGCCAATAAGAAACTGAAGTTGCTAACGCTTTGTCGCTCTTCTTCACGATGATATCGCTTGGCGCAGTCCCGCCTCATCACGCTCCTCTTAATCAACTTAGGAGTGAAAGCAGATTGTTTAGGACATTCGAAGAGGAAAACGTTCCGATATACGTACTGCGTTAATTTTTGAATCAGTAAGAACAACTGAAACTTCAAATCGAGAATTTTCTTCGTTCTTCGATAGCTATATGCCGGACCAAACGCATGGAAGTTAGAAAGCTGAAACTTCGCAAATAAAATGTGCAGCCAGAATACAAACCCTCGAAACGGAAATTAATTTTCAGACCACATTTTGGGCAGATTTCACAAAACAGCACGAAAATAGTTGCAGTCCTAAAATTATGAACCCCCAGCGTCCACTGTGTGTGAATATTTGTACGCATTTATATGTGAGTTTCCATTTGTCGCGATGATTCTACTTCACAATTACGTACTTGTGCCGAAAAGTAAAATCGAAAGGTAAAGTCAGCTTCATGCCTTTCTACATTTTAATTTTAGGGATATAACCTTAAAATTTAGTGATACAATCGCGGTATGCAATAAAATATTTTACTATTTGCTTGCAACAGCGTGAATATCACTATTCAGTGAATACTTCAAAAAAGAAACTGCGTGGCGATATAAAAGAATTGTTGGGTGTTTTCTGTAAATTTATTTGCAGCGAACTAGTACTAATGAACTGGCTTGTTCCCAAAGACTTATAACTGCGCTGGTTTCTTAGCTATGCCGTTATCTGTTTGGTTCCGAATAACACAGTGAATGAATTATCACAAATGATAGCATACTGAAAGATTTATTGTAGCTAAGAAGCCTGCGAAATGTGGCGCACGTACATAGAATGGCAGTGGGTACTAAATGGAGCCGTGCCGTCCAGATTCGAAGCGTCTGATACAGCTGCGCTGGAGTGTCCAAGTAACATCACTACAAATAGCCCGAGCAGCCTTGGCATTCTTGGTAAAAAATAAACTGTCTCGTGGTTGAAAACACAAAAAATGATTATCTAGATATTTCGTCAATTTGATGAGCTGCATTTCGTGGCACTGTTCGCCACTCATTATCCAGCTGCGTATTTGGAGAACTAGTGTGGGTATCCATTATTAGTGACGTTACTGGGACACTCCAGCGCAGCTACGCCAGGTGGTGAACATGCTGGCAATCCTAGTGCTTCGTTCCCTGTAGGAATTGCCAGCTCAACAGCTCTGCTTACATGCCGAAAATACTATTTTAGATTTCGAAGATATCAGTAGAGTTGTATTTTCAACTTTGACACGGGTTTTTCTTAAAAAATATTACAAATAACGGTCCTAAATTCATTTTTTTTTAACGGCCGTCGACTCATTTTTCCTGGCAATTTCTTTACACAACTGAAATTTGTACTATAAAATGAACATCGTGACTTTTCAGTAACTCAGCACCTTTTCACTTATTTTACCACATTACCAAAGCAGTTCTAAAACTCAAGCTAAATTTTAAACTTTCTGGTTCCGTCTTGTCTCCTCGCTTTTCACTTCTATTTTTTGCTTTTAGCTTCCATCCTTTCTTGTAGTATGCCGGTCGACTCGTCCTGACAATATACATCATTTTCTTATTCTTTGAAGCCAAAACGACATTTATTGATTGCATTC